CCTTTGAAAAGGGCAAATGTGTGATAATCCCACAGGCTAAGAGAATAAAGTAACTTTAATGATTTAAGCAGAGAAATAAAAGGTATTCTGGAGTAATAGACTCAGCCCAACCCACCTCACAGGGTTGTTGTGGGGAAAATACGAGAAGGAAGGAACTCTGTGTTAACTTAGAAATTTCAAGTATTAGAAATAATTTTGTCTCTTATTTAACCGACTATTTTTAGAATACAAGAAGAGATGTTTCTCTTCTTCCAGATCTGTCAAAAAGATATAGGCAGTGCATACTAATAAACAGCCAAAAGGGAATTGCAATGTGTGTATGCATATAGATGAAACTATAAATCATAGTAATTGCATAGGCATCGAAACAGAACACTGTGGCCAAAGAGTGCTCATTTTCTTTCTTATTTTTTTAATGGAAAATAATGCAATTGATTCAGTCGCTCACTGCAAGAGGAAGAAAATGATAAATACTTTGACGTATACCAGATTGTGAAGTCTTCCTGATATGTGAGAAGTAAACACTCCAGTTAATTTATCAGAATATGGATAATTTTGTTAAAGCAACGTTTCTTGCTATGTGGGTAATACATTTTATAGATTTGTCATATAAAAGGAACAAAGCGAGTTTGATGTAGTATAGCTTTAGCTGGCTGGGTGATCTTGGACTAGTCACTTTCGGTCAGCCCTAGGAAAGAGACTGTGGCAAATCACTTCTGAAAAAGTTTGCCATGAAAACTGCAGGGATTAGTCTAGGCAGTTGCCAGGAGTCAAAAACTGACTTGAAGGAATTAAAAAAATAATAATAAAAAAAAGAAATGAATTTCTTCTTTCACAGATCATGGACAGGTTAGGGACACAAACTGTTTACTTAGTACTCAATAATCTCTTTACTGGTGCTTGCTTTTGATCTAGCACAGTGGTTCTCAACCTTTTTAATGCCGCGACCCCAACCGGTCGTAAGTCGAGGACTAAACCGGTCGTAAGTCGAGGACTAAACCGGTCGTAAGTCGAGGACTACCCAGCCGGTCATAAGTCAAGGACTTTCCCTGCCCGGGAGCGCCGCGCATGCGTGGTTCCGCCCCCTGCGCCGGCCGAGGCATAGCTGGCAAGCGGCAGAGACAGAGCAGGCCGACCACCAGCTGGCCCAGCCCAAGGGAGGTAAGGCACCCACCGGAAAAGGGGAAAAAATGGCGGACAAAAAAATGGCGGACAGCCTTGCTTGGCGACCCCCGTGAAATGGTCGATCGACCCCAAATGGGGTCCCGACCCACAGGTTGAGAACCACTAATCTAGCATATCGCAAGCATAAGAGGTACTTAAATATTGTTTAGCATTGTTTGAAGGTGGCTGCAGTTGCCAAATATTGTCTGAAGTTGGTAAGTAAGCATGATCAAGCCTGATTAGTATTTGGGTAGAAGACAGCCCAAACATTCCAGGGTGACAAATTGGACTGGAATGGAGAAGGAGACAACAGCAAATCACTTTTGTGCTGTTGAGAAGAAAACTGCATAGTTTTAGTCATACAAGTCACCAGGAGTAACCTCAAATTGATGATGTCTTCAATATCTCTCTTTTCCTTAAAACAACAATGTACATTTAGTGTAATCTCATTTGTAATATTACCTGCTGATGAAATGAAGAGAAATAAACTTGGTAATGACATTCTTATTTATTGAATATAGTTAGTCTGTATTTATCTTTATATCTAGGCAAAAGGTAAAAGAAGAATGTGAAGTGAGCAACTTTGTAATAATAAAAGTGTGAGTTACCAGCACTGGGGGTTTTCCTGGGTGTTTGTGTGTGGAATTGGCTTAGTAGTATTTCCCTTTCTTGTCTAAATGATCCTTGATGTCATTTAGTAATAACCTTTGCTATTCTCTTATGAAAAACTATTTTGATTTACTCTGCAACTTTGTTATCATTTTGTTTTGAAAGCAGTGCATAGAAAAACATGTGTAGAAAATAATAGTTCACATTATCTATGAACAAATAATTCTACAGAAGAATCTCTATTGATTTCTAGGTAGAGAATGGTTCAGGTATTTTGGCTTTGTGGTACAATAAACCTAATCCTTTGGATTACTTGTGAGCCCCCAAAACTACTTAAACTGAGAAGTATATCTAATTAAAAAGGACTATATTATTTTTATTACTTAATCATATGTACTTTGTCTTCTCTGTTATTTTGTGGTAACAATTAATTGGGGAAAGTATGAGTTCAAATTTCCAACATAACCATGAAGCTGATATTAAGCAATCCTTCACAAATCAGTCTTTCATCCTATTTATTTTATTGTATTGATAGATAACCTTTATTGACATTTTTTTATATGGGCACAATGGCACACATTAAAAATGAAATTTAATTGCTTGCTCTCAAAGGGTACACATACATAACACACATTTAAACATGCTATAAACAACATATGTATAGACCTACACTCTTACATATAGGTAACATATAAATATTAATCACTGTCCATCTGGAATACATAATGGAAGCAGGAAGCTTTAGACTAGAGTGTGTGCTTTTGAGAGCAGATAAATATCCAAAATTTTATTTTTCCTTTTCTTTAAATAGAGCATTTACTATTTTATGGAACTAATATAACTTTTTGTAGTTTATTATAATGAAATTTTAGAATTAAAAGGAATTCTTTTTTACGTAATGATAAATCCTTTTTTCTCTGTATGAACAATTCAAGTTGCCCATCAGTCAAATGTTCAGACAATAACATTGTATTTTATTGAGCAATCAACATTTAGAGCAATTAATAAACTCCTAGCTTTTGCCTGCCCTTTCAAACTTTGTTTGAAAGGGCAGGCAAAGCTCCTGACTGAAAATTAGTCTTTTTTTTTAAAGTAAGTAATAAACCAAACAATAAAAATTACAATGAAAACGGGGTTTTAAACCTGGACGGTTGTTAAGATGAACCCCCCCCCCCCCCGTTGAGACAGTTGAAACTTTATTCTGATGTTAAGATCTAATGTTAAGTAGTTGCCAGGCAGTGAATAAAACCACTATCTTTTTCCCCCTTGTTTTAATTTCTGGTATTTTTTACTTCTGATGAAAACAGATACAGTAACTCCATGATTTACCAATAAACATGCTATACTTTGAGAGCTATGGATAAATTCCTTTAATGAGGAATAAACACATTTTGTCACTGAATTGCCATTGTCTTGTTTAGTTGGATGTTTTTTATCCTGAAACACTGATTCCAAAAGAATGAGTCAGAAAACAGCATGAAGTTTGCTTTTCTGCAAGATTCCTAGTTGCCTTCCTGGTAGATTTCAGAATAAAAGAGCCACAGGTTAGCTCACTTAAATTTTAATCTCTTCTCTTTCTAAGCAAGTCTTCCTTTTTTTTTATTAGACCAAGACTATTTATTTTACTTGCTACAGGAATTATGCAGCATCCTGCAGAAAATTCTAACTGTATGAAGCCAAAGGATTGTATTGTGCAATCTGAGGTCCTCATAACTCATACTTCGAGGTGATCTGCATCTGCTGTAATCATTTCAAAGGCAATGAGAACATGTCTTCTTTGGGGAAGGAAAACATGTATAAACAGTGGTAGAAGACTCCAGGAAGGTTACAGTGGATAATAATATCTGAACTCTTGAACTGCAGTCAGTATCCTGACTCCTGTGTGTCTGTGTGTGTCTCTGTGTGTACAGTTAAACAAAATATATGCTTAGTTGCCATGCTGCACTAGATTTCCCAGGCAAAAGCACAAATAATAGGATATGCTAACTGCATCATTCTCCCCCAAATCTGCATACAGTCCAACCATCCCTAATTTAAGTATATACAAAAAAAAAGGGTAGTGTTTGAATTTTTAACTACAAGCATTATTTAACATTGGCCATGCAGACTGAGTCTACTATAAGCTATTCTTTTGCAAAATATGGAGAGTCACCAGTCCAAGTCTAATAACGTCCAAATTATGTTGTAGAAAAGAGCAATATTATGAAGAGGCTTGGACATTCCCAAATTAGGAGAAAGTGGGAGAAGCAGTCCAACATACTGAACATTACTCATAGCAGAAGAGGACTTTTGTGTTGAACTTGGCCCTTTCTTCTATTTCACATTTTCAGTCTGTTATTGTTATAGAAAGAAGGGGTCAGGCAAATGGCAAGAAGGATTAATTGAGAGATGAAAAAAATGCTCTGGGGTCAGCTGAGTGGACAGTGAAGCCTATGACAGAAGCAGGAGAGGAGTTCTCTGATGCTATTCTACCTGGGATTTCAAAAAAGGGAAGTCAAGACATATATATAAGCTAGATCTGGGAATGAAAGCGTTTGCTGTGGGATCACTGGTGTATTCTAGGGTAGATAGGCTTGTTGGGTTAGTACCAGAATGAACTAAAGCTCAGGTGGGCTTTGATAGCAGTATTCCAATATCTCTCCCCGACGGTGTTTCTTCTCCCTCAGTTCGATAAAAGGTTCCGCGGACTTCCGTCCTGTTCTTCGTTACCTACCTTTGATTAGTTCCTCTCTTCGTTGGATCTTGATTCCTCTTTGAAGGACTGTCAATCTTGTTAATTGGTCACCTTGTTGGACGGAGGTCTTCGCCACTTACGAGGTTGACTGGAAGTTTTTAAGAGACTGGACAGCCATTTGTCTGAAATGGTACAGGATTTCCTGCCTGAGCAGGGGGTTGGACTAGATGACCTCCAAGGTCCCTTCTAACATTATTATTATTATTATTATTATTATTATTATTATTATTATTATTATTATGTAATTCATACATGCACGTGTGTATTGATTGGTTAATTTCAGGTGGGATGAATGAGGTGGAATGAAAGAAGATGGTCTAGTTCCCTAGATTTTATTTGCCTCTTTAAAATTGTAAAGGAGAGAGAGAAAAACAGAGTCTTTTTTATTGTTATATACTTCATTCCTAGCACAGGGGAACTAAGATTTTCTTAAATATCATAAATATGACTGGAACTCTTCCCTTTCCACTTGTCTCTCTCTCTCTGTCTCAAGGTTCGCTTCTCTTATATGCGGATGAAATATCTCTTCCTCTCTTGGCTAGGAGTATTTATTGGCAGCTGGATTATTTATGTTCAGTACTCATCTTACACAGAACTTTGCAGAGGGCATGACTGCAAGAAAATAATAGTAAGTATATTTTTTAAAAAATTAGATTTATTGGTACTCCTGACTGGCTCTTTCACCTTTAGTATTTGCTTGTAAATTAAATATGAGAGAAATGGTATGAAAGAATTAACTATCTTTGCTGTTGCATTTGTCTAATAAGGTGTAGCAGTAGTTTATGTTCTTGGTTTTTGTTTTATCATGAGAAATAGTATTAGAAAAAAATACATGATGTAGCTTATTAAAATTATTAAATCCCAGTTCATTGGAGAGGAAAAAATAGCTATATATTGTTTAGGAATTATGTGTAGAACTATAGTAGAGAATCAGGGAACATTGACCGAGAGATCTACATTTAAGAAGATATATTATAAAAATCAATGAGTTTGCTGATAGTGAAAAATATAGCAATTCTCACATGGGGGTTTTTTGGTTTCATTTTTCCAGTGTGATAAATACAAGAGTGGGGTTATTGATGGATCAGCATGTAGTAGCCTGTGTACAAGACAAACACTTTATTTCAGAAAATGTTTGTCAACCCAACCCAACAATCAGGTATGAGTACTCTGATTTAATTTTTATTTCAGAAAACAAGCATGAAATGATAAATAATATTCTGTAACCTTATCTTAAATAATGTTTCAGTTGAAGATAGATGAAAATGGACTTCATGTATTAAAGATAAAAAACTACAGATAGCAGTGATTAATGTCTCCTAATAAGGACTTCAGTTGGTTCGTTTGACCCCTAAAATTGGATCCATCTAAATATAGTGATTGCTGCAAACCTAGACATTCTAGTTTTTCTAAGGTATATTAGTTTGTAAATGTCATAGAAAACAGAATTGTTTAAAAAACCAAAACCAACATTGATTTTGCTTAGTTATTTACAGAATCCACACAATATTGCTGGTATCATTTTATGATAAAGAATTGACTTAATCAAGTATTTTATAATATGGAGGAGAATATTAGGCATTATGTTTAAGAACATCCCACCATGCTATTGTTTCCCCTTCTCATTTTCCCCCAGATTTTCTTTTTCCCAATCTACATAATTCTCTTTCCCCTTTCACACTGCAAGAATAGAAGGGTTCTGGACTATGACAAGCCGGAAATGCCAGAACATCCAACAATTTGACAAAACACCTACAGATAGTTGTCAACTTACAACTGGTTGCTTAACGAACATACAAAGTTGCGGCAGATCTCCCCAGGGCTACTTACAACCCAGATTTGAAGTAGGGCTGCCCCTTCATCCCATGATCATGTGATCCTATTTGGGGCACTTGGTACCCAGCTGGCATTTATATCCGTTTGCAGCATTGCACAGTCACATGACCAGGATTTACAATGGGGTTTTTTTTTTGTTAGAAACTGGTGTTTACTTCCGTTTTCCAGCAAAAAAAATATACTCATTGTGACTAATGGATTCACTTAACAATTGCAGCATTCACTTAATGACTGTGGTGATTGACTTAGTGACTTCCACAAAAAAGGTTATCAGTTTAGGCGTGGTTGCTTAACAACTGGCACAACTTAACAACTGTAATTCACATCTCAATTAATAGACTTAAGTCAAGAACTACCTGTATTCAAGGGCTAGTAACAGCACAGAACAGGAGTGCCTCTTAACCAAGAACTAAAAGTTTGGCTTTGAGGGAAGTTATAAGGAAGGGTATACTGTTCTGGACGTGAAACTTGCTTTTCCAGTCTGGAACAGATAGATAACTCAGAAGAACAAACAGAGAATATTGCTTTATTCTGGGAATCCTAGACAAAGACTTACAGTTTGTAGAGGTGCGTCCAAAATAGGTTTCAGCAATCTGATTGTCCCACAGGTAAATTGACATTAGATTTTCCCTTCTTCTCCCAAGCGTCACATGGTGGGGTGCTTGTGGAGTCTCCAGCCGTGTGGCTGCATGTGGTGGCTAAAGAACAAAGGGACTAACCCCAGGCTAGTGTCCAGGGATGCCTTTTGAAGCTCCGCCCCTGACCCTAACCCCTCCCCTTGACCTGTTACATAGGAATTATACATGGATACATGGATACATGGATACATGGATCTGTGATGATCCAGAACAAAGGGTTAAGAGAAAATATTTTAAGCAGCATGCAGAGGGTTAAGTCATCCATTTCATTGTTGAAATCCCACTACCCAAAGTATTTTTAAAAGGTTGAAAATATCAATCATAGCTAGTGATGTTATGACAAATTAATCTTGTCCGTGTCTCCTACACACAAGACTTAATGTAACATGTAGCTCCCCAATCTATAAAACATACCACACTGTATTAAAGCTTGCATCCATCATAGCATTTTGAGGCTTGCAACATCATCTGCTAAGGGACTTGATAAAAGGACACTTTAGGGGAAATTGCCAAACAGGAAGGAATGTTAGGACTCAGATTCAGCTACAGTAGTTGTGGATTTTTTAAAACGAGTCTTACTGTTTAGTCACATCTGATTTTAAGCTGGAACAGCATCTAGATTTTCATTTAAAACCTGTTACTATAAAATAATTTATAGCAGTGTTTTATTACTAATATTCCATTCAAGAAATGTCTAATTTTGTGGTTATTAATTAGAGTCATAAATCAAATGGTGTGAAATGTACATTCAGTAGTGATTTTAAAGTACATGTCAAAATGTACAATAATGTATGAATTTTAAATGCTTATCGGCCATGATTTACTAAAAACTACAGAATATTATTTATCAAATGCATTTTGCTCCTCCATGTTACATACCATATAAAAAAGTATATATACTGGTAAAAGTGATTGATCACAACTGCTAAAATTAATGTTCTAGGAGTACAGATATCACTATGCAACCATTTTGCAGAGATTATATTTGACCAGTAGTCTTTTATTTCCATCTCTGTAAAAGCTGAGTGAAGAAGCTAGTCTCATTATACTGAAATGCATTAAAACATTTCTATATAAAGTAATTTAAATAATGCTATGAACTTTAAACTCCCATTTCACCTGTTTACTGTATGTCACTGTTTTGGGGTTGCCTTGTATCAATGACTTATTTTCAAGGGAGAAGAATGAAGAAATCAACAACTGCTCATCTGATATTTTGAAATCACTTAAATTTAGTACTTTTAGAGACAGCATAAGTGTCATTTTTATATAAACACAGCATATAAGTACTAATTTAGCAGAAGTGGAAATGCTGTTTCTAGGTTAGCACTTGTCAGCTACAGTTCTTTTATAAATACTATGTTTGTATAAATAGCATATACATTTTAAAATTTGTTATCCAGAAAATAAGGTCATCGTATTGAAAATAATCATTTAAGCCAAAAATTTAGTCGGTGAAATACTGAGCACCAATTACAGAGAGCACTTGTGTAAAAGATAATTTCCATCTATAAGCTTAGCTTATTCCATTTTGTACAGATGTATTTAGGAGAATGGGGCAATTTGCAAGGAGTTATAAAATGCCAGATGGAAGAAATTGCTCATATTGATCTCAGAACTGAACTAGAACCAAGGAAGGAAACAATTCTGTTTGATAAACCGACTAGAGGAACCACTGTTCAAAAATTCAAAGAGATGGTCTACGGGCTTTTTAAAGTAAGTATATTATTTCTCCATTGCCTGGAGTGATGATGACTGAGCTGAAAGTAATGATACTAGACCAGTGGTTCTCAACCTTTTTAATGCCGCGACCCCAACCGGTCGTAAGTCGAGGACTAAACCGGTCGTAAGTCGAGGACTACCCAACCGGTCGTAAGTCGAGGACTTTCCCTGCCTGGGAGCGCCGCGCATGCGTGGTTCCTCCCCCTGCGCCGGCCGAGGCATAGCTGGAAAGCGGCAGAGACAGAGCAGGCCGACCACCAGCTGGCCCAGCCCAAGGGAGGTAAGGCACCCGCCGGAAAAGGGGGAAAAAATGGCAGACAAAAAAAATGGCGGACAAAAAAAATGGCGAACAGCTTTGCTTCGCGACCCCCATGAAATGGTCGATCGACCTCAAATGGGGTCCCGACCCACAGGTTGAGAACCACTGTACTAGACAGATTATTTAATTGCTTCAGTAGATTAAAATTAAGACTTTATGTTGGAAAGTTTTATAAGGATTGCATGAAATGAACTTTCTAAGTTTTCCCTCCCTGTTATGATCTTGCTCTAAGTTGGCTCCCCTATATTAGAAATAAAAAACTTCCATTACAATTTAGTTAACAGTCTTTCTGTTACTGCCCTTATTCTTTTCAAGGCTCCATGTGTAGTGTTTAAACACTCTTATGATAACTGTTAAAATACAGCTAGGTCTTGGATTAAGTACAGATATTAGAAATTGCATTGGTAATTCATTTTTAATCTGTGAGGTCCTTGGTGCTCTCTGAGCTTGGTTATTTTCTTGCAGATGTTTCATTATCAAACCTAGGTAACATCATCCTTGCATATTTAACCCATTTTCCCTTTTAAATAGTTTATTGGAAAACAGTCACACAAATATAAAATAAAAGAAGCCCAACTGAAATTAATATTATCAAATTGTGAGAATAATTTATAAAACTATTTATCATTTTAGGAAATTAACCTGAATTAATGCAGAAGAAAATTGTGTTAATGTTGATGGATAACAACCTGTGCTCCTATAGGTCTTTGAACGAAATAACACCATCAAAATTGGATAGAGACCAAACAGGTCAAAGCTGCCCACAAACAGGTTAGACAAAACCATGTGGGTCTGCAGGAAATCTGGTGATGCGATTATATTTGGTGTAGCTAACTCTACTATAAGGAGAGAAAGTGCAGAGGATAAAAGGTGAATGCTTGGTGCTGGAATGGAATTTTTCAGTCACGGTGTCTTCTTACCTTTAGAATGGAGATACTCACTCTTGCTTTGTTCAATAGTTATATGATTGGTATTTTGTAAAGCAGCTACCTTTAAACACATTTATTTATTCTCACCTCTGTAGTAAATTTCAATATTAGTAAATGTGAACCTGCTGAATAGCTTAAGGTTATCTCACTGCTGGGATACTTTTTTTTGTTAAACTCTTTGAAAATTCATCTGATAATAAGCAACAGTTAATTAAAAATAAGAACTGAGTGCACATGATATTTCAACGTATATATGTGACTTCTTTCTAGGCAAAACTGGGAGAGCAAGGAAATCTTCCTGAACTGGTTAATCTCATCTTGACTGTGGCTGATGGGAATAAAGATGGCCGTGTTTCCTTGCCAGAAGCAAAGTCAGCATGGGCACTTCTCCAGTTAAATGAATTCCTGCTCATGGTAATTCTCCAGGATAAAGAACACACTCCCAAATTATTGGGGTTTTGTGGAGATCTTTATGTGATGGAAAAAGTTGAATATACCTCTCTTTTTGGAATAAGCCTTCCGTGGATCTTAGAACTCTTCATTCCTTTTGGTTTCAGAAGAAGCATGGATCAGTGGTTTACTCCGTCATGGCCCAGAAAGGCAAAAATAGCTATTGGGCTCCTAGAATTTGTGGAAGACATTTTCCATGGACCATATGGGAATTTTCTTATGTGTGACATGAGTGCCAAAAACCTGGGTTATAATGATAAATACGACTTAAAAATGTTGGATATGAGAAAAATAGTGCCAGAAATGAATTTAAAAGAACTTATTAAAGATCGTCACTGTGAGTCTGACCTGGATTGTGTATACGGCTCAGACTGTAGAACTGTATGTGACCAAAGTAAAATGAAATGTACTACAGAAATAATTCAGCCAAATTTAGCAAAAGTGTGCCACTTGCTTAAAGACTATCTGCTTCTCGGGGCTCCTTTAGAAATACATGAAGAATTAGAGAAACAACTGTACTCTTGCATTGCCCTGAAAGTTTCAGCCAATCAGATGGAAATGGAACATTCCTTAATACTCAATAACTTGAAAACTCTATTGTGGAAGAAAATATCTCATACAGATGATTCTTAGGTGCTTTGTCTCAGAAGAAGAAACAGTTGCTGCTGTAGGAGCTGACCACTTTTTGTGAAACATACTTTATAGTTTTTGAAACATTAGTTATCCTCATCTTTTATCAGTTCTCTTTCAGATATGTTTTTCCCCAACTGAAGAGTTACACCTGTACTTAAAATGTATGCCTGTCAGACTACTGAAGCCACATGGCTACAACACTCCTGGCTGGAAAGAATACTAATTCCCTGTTACCCTTTTACCCTTCATTGGCTTCAGAGATTTCATAAGAGCCTTCTGTTGTTAGTATTCATTCTGTTTCTTTAGAAACTTACTAAAAGCCAAATTTATACATATGGAGAAAGCATTTGGTATAATCCCAGGAAATCTGTTCTGTAGAATTTATAAACATACATGTATTCAGCTGAACAACTTCCTAAAAGTAAAAAAAAAAAAAAAAATCTAGCATTTGAAATCTAGCCTACCCTTTTCCCTGACATATTAGTTATTAGAAACTGGGAATTCTTGAAGTAGAACAGTATAAAATACCAACCACACTTCCATTTCTAAATAATAGCTAAAGAGAGATACTCCAGAACCTCTGCATCATGAGGCAGTTCCAGTTAGCCAAGCTGCTTCATCTGGCAGTGGAAGACCCTCCACCCTTCCTTCTAGCTTTCCGGAACACCTTGAAGAGCTGGGATTGGTTTCAGGGGATGGCTGGAGTCTTAGAACTGCAAATGGCGATGTATGGAGGAGTCTGTGTTTGAGGGCTCCAGGAACTGTTTTTTGAGAGTGGTTTTATTGCTCCTTTTTACATTTTTACTTCCTGGTTTTCTGAGCTGTCCAGGAGTATTGTACATAGGATGGGCAGCCATATAACTCCTTTGAATAAATGTATTAATTAAAAGCTCCACTTGATAACGTCCCACGTATCAATCGGCCCCCTGGGAAAATACTGTTCCCTGTGCTTTGCCCTGAATCTTTAGCAAAGGGGAAAGTTAGAAGGAATGGAGCGGGATGGGTGAAGTTGGCTGTGTGGGTTATTGTTTTAAAGCACTCTTAGCTGCCATTTTTGTAAATGCTGGCTACCTTATGAAAAAAATCCTGGTGACTCGAACAGACTTCTCATTTGAACTAAATGTGTGCGACGGGAAGAGCTTTGTCCCTAAATTGTGATATCACTTAGTCCAAGCAGATGAGGGACTGATTGCATCTAGGGATCTGCTCTTGTTCCAAAGCTGCCATCTTGCAGACGTGATAAGAAGCTTCCTTATGTTCTTTTGACTTACTATATCCTTTGTGTTCTTGCTTCCCCTCAAAAAGCTACGAAAATGTATTGTGGTGCTTTTAAAAATATTTGATGTGATTTTTAAAATTCTGAAGTTTCTTTACAATCATCAATCTGAAAGAACCCATCACTATTAGATTACCTTTTAAAAATAATATTTTGGGGGTTATCTATTAATTTTAAGCATGGCAGAATTTGCACATTAGTAATTTTTAGAGAAAATTAATGTGACAATTGAAAATATTTTAAAATGGAAGTTTTTCGAACCAGAACTTTTTGTTAGATTTTTACATTTGTATACACATTTACCTCATACATACATTGAATGTTAGTAAGTTTGCTAAATCTCCTAGTTAAAAATAGCTGTTGTACCATTCTACCATTTAAGGATTTATAAATTGCATACACAATCATACACACATACACACTACAGCAATATGAAATATAAGCTTCAATAAACTACAGTAATCAGTTGGATTATATGAACAGATTTATTAAATACTATTAAGTATTATACATTTGAAAGTAAGAAGTCAAAGGGATCCTTAAGCTTTCGTTTGTCCAAACCACAGTTTTAATGCAATCAAATGATCGAGTCCTAGTTTTTTTATCAGCAAAGTATTTAAATCATAGTGGACAATTTCACCAAAAGAAAGCCTATCCAACAGTTAAATTCTATGTATGACTGTTCTGAAGTAATTTCAGTATTGTAGTTGTAAGGTGGAAGATTCCTATTGGGAGATAACCGTATTTGTTCCTTCAACCACCAAATTCTTGTGATTTCACCATATGCACTTTGGAAACTAAAATATTACATTCAAGCTGATTTTGTAAGAATGTATAGGTTTGTTTTCAGGCTATGTGATGAGCTAATTTCTAAATTGCCATTTGTCTTAAGCTAATGAATATTGGTTTTGGCATTGCTTACAAAGCAACAAAATGAAATACAACCGTGATACGATACATGTGTTCACCACCACCACCCTTCTTGGACTTGTTTTTTTTTTTTTAAATATGTAGTACTTTCCATTTCAGTTGTGTATGTTTCTCAGAACTACAGGCCATAGTCCCAAGATCTAGAAAGAAATGGCAACTTTGATCACACATGGATAATCTTTGGAATCTTATTTAGCATCTAGTTAGTTAAACTACATTGTTCAACATAGTTGTTTAGCAGACCTCTTGTGAAACACTTGTGCATGTTCCTCTTGACACTAATACACCTTTAGCTCTTGACTCGATTCAGTTTGTTTTATAAAACAAGAAAATTACAAAAGTTATTTACAATTTCACTTTTTGAAATCAACAGAATATTCTTTTTTTAACCTATCAAACATGCACTTATAAAGGCAAAAGAACTATTGTTCCCTGTATAATGTGTGACATTATTTGCTTTAGGGTCTTGTACGTTTTTGCCTTGTATAAATATTTTTACCAGCAGTTTTCTTGCACAATGTCCACTTTGTTTTTAAATTGACAGAGACAGCATTAATGGTACCAGTAAACATTCTTAAATCTTAATAAGCAAATCCATGGTGAGTAAGTCTGAATGTCAATATTTAACAGTCATTGCTCAGTGGAAAAATATATTTGAAAGTTTGGAATAATGGAACTTGTTAGCAATGCAGTTTGTACTGTATTTCATTTTGATTGCTGTTATACCACTTTCAGGTTTTTATTTTAAATATGAACTGTTTACAATAAACTGGAACTATTTCCCCTTTCTGGTAGTTATACGTGTTGGGTAGAAACACTGCATTTCTGGTAATTATTAGCATAAAATGCTGGCGATAGCAAGAGCTCATTGATTCTGGGTAAATTTGAACAAGGTTCAATTTGATTACATAGTTGAGTCCGCATAATGTGTGCCTTATCCTCTCCAAATACAAGAAACAAATCAATACAACAATTTTAGTGGACAGAGGTGTGTTGAAATAAGTCCAAAACCCCGATTTCTGCTTATAGTTTTCATATTCTTCCAACACAAAATTGATACCTATGACTGAATTGGATTCATTTTATTAAAGGCTCATTGCTGCAAAGCAGGAATAATTAAGGAATAGGAAACCTAAATCTGTTGAGATGACAAGTTTGTTTGATTCTCTGTTCCAGCAGATAGCCCTTTACTGTCCCCTAGTGAAACATGTTGGGGTACAGTTGCATTTAATCATTTTTATATAAAAGTCAATAGAATGCAACAAAAGGTTAATGAAATGAGATATAGGGTACTTCTGCTTTCCTCTTGAGATTGAAGAGTTCATGTGGTAATGGAAGAGATCGGCGAAGGTGTTTCACCATTACACAATTGGTCATTTCTATTCAGTTTCAATTTAGGGATTCCCATAAGAGCCCAGGGTAAAACTCTATATTTCTGCATAAATATGACCTAAAGTGTGATTTGTTCTTCACACAAGCCAAAAGCTAGGTGAAGAGAACCCTATTAAACAATTGAGTCAAAAACATTATAGTTCACGTATTTGAGGAAAATGATCCAAATCTGTGTGGCAAAACTTATGTGAACTTTCGCTTTCAGTAACTGGTGTGCAATCCTATAAGTGCAACTAAATATTTCAGATAACTGTTGTCCTGAACATTGGCTTGGAGGAATTTTAACCAATTCCTCTTATGGAACAGCGTTAATTCAGGGTTGTTTGTGGGCTTCCTTACATGAATTCCCTGCTTCCTACAACATTTCTATAGGATTAAGGTGAGGACTTTGATGGCCCATTCCAAAACATTTTCTTCTGCTTTAACCACTCTTTGATTATACAACACGGATTGTTGTTATGGTGTTGTTGTTATGTTATGGTGTAAGTCCCACTTTCTCTGGAGCCCAAAGTTCACTGACAGATATCCTGATATTTTCCTGTAAAATTTGCTGGTACAGTTCAGAATTCATAGTTCTATCAATGTTTTATCAATGGCAAACCATCCTGGTCCATTATACTGTTACCATCATGTTTCACGGATGGTATAAGGTTCTTATGTTGAGTTTGCCTTTCCCAAATCTAACACTTGTCGTTCAAGTAAAAAAAAAAATCTATTTTGGTCTTATCTGGCCACAGAACATTTTTCCAATTATCTTTTGGGCTATCCACATGGTCTTTGTACATGGACAGCAATGTTCTTTTTGGAAAGTAGTCACTTTCTCCTTGCAATTCTGCCATGCACACCCATGTTCAGTGCTCTTCTGATGACGGTCTCATGAATATCGACATCTAGCAACGCAAGAAAGGCCTTCAATTCCTTAGATGTTATCTTGAGGTTCCTTGAGACCTCCAATATTACATGCCTCACCTTTGGTATGATCTTAGTTGATCAATCACTCCTGGGAAGGGTAACAGTGGTGTTGAATTGCTTCCATTTGTACATGATTTGCCTGACAATGCACTGGTGGAGCCTAACTCTTCGGAAGTAATTTTGTTAACTCTTCCAGCCTGGTGAGCATCAACAACCATTTTTAGATGTCAGAAATCTCCTTTTTCAAACTATTACACACTTCCTCATACCTGTGTTGTGAAGATCAGTCTTTGATGGTGAATACCCAGAATTCAGTCCTTTAAATAAGGCAGAACTTCCCACACTCACACCTGATTATCATCCTATTCATTGGAACACCTCTTATTTCTCCTTCAAATGAACGGATAATTCCAGACTTTCACATACACAAACCATACACATATATAAATTTGGATCACTTTCCTCAATGAATAAATGAACACGTATGCTTTAGACTTAGTTGTTTAAATGGGTTCTTTAGCTTTAGGACTTGGGTGGAAAACAGATCACAACTTAGGTCACATTTATGCAGAAATATGATCAATTTAAAAGGTTTCACAAATTTTAAGTGCTGCTGTAATTGCTGTTAGCTGGAATATAACATTCTGCTCTTTTAATTAATATATTTATTGTAAACTAGTTAACTTTTTAGTAAGCATGCTGCTGAAACAGAGAATGAGATTGAGGATTTCATCAATTTGATCAAATGTTTGGCAATTAAGTTTGGGTGTCCCTGTCCCCAGGAAACCATATGGCCTATGTAGAGAACTACTAGTCCAGGGGGTTCCCAACCAGGAATGCTCGCAGTCCCTGGGGGTGCGAGATGATATTCCAGGGGGTGAGAAAACTTTGTTTTCAAAATTATAGTGTATATG